CAGCTAAAGGTATCTAAAGGCTAGTCATCAGCTAAAGGTATCTAAAGGCTAGTCATCAGCTAAAGGTATCTAAAGGCTAGTCATCAGCTAAAGGTATCTAAAGGCTAGTCATCAGCTAAAGGTATCTAAAGGCTAGTCATCAGCTAAAGGTATCTAAAGGCTAGTCATCAGCTAAAGGTATCTAAAGGCTAGTCATCAGCTAAAGGTATCTAAAGGCTAGTCATCAGCTAAAGGTATCAAAAGGCTAGTCATCAGCTAGATGTATCTAAAGGCTGGCCAACAGCTAAAGGATGCTAAAAGCTAGGTGACAGCTTCCAGCTGAGATCAGCTGAACCTCAGACTTTAGAAATTTAACGGTGAAACTTTCCATAACATTTCAGACTTCAGAGCAGCTGCTCAGGATCCAGACTCACAAATTTGTCGCTGGACTCTGGTGGAAGCGAGCCGATCTGAGCCGAGGACTTGGACGGGCTGCACAGTTCTGGGAACGGGTTGGGTATAGAGGGGACCGAGAAGGAGAACGGGTCAGCACGTCTCATCCTGGAACACAGAATAAAAGAAGAAGTTTGTTCTGCCTTCAGCTGATCGTCAGCTGACTCAACAGAAACCAGACTCTCCTTCGAACCTCCTGTTGACTCACTGACTTGAGTCAACATCCTCCTCCAGAGGACGGGTGTCCTCCCTGAGTCAGACACTTCCTGTCAGCAGGACCGTCCTACCTGTTGGAGGGGATCAGGACGGACTGCGAGCGGCGGATGGACGGCAGGTCGGGAGGAACCAGAGGAGCCAGAGTCAGAGAGGAGCTGCTCAGCAGGTCGTCTCCTCTGCAGGACGAGTCCTTCACCTCCGAGTCCTCGAAGACCTCGGTCCAGGTTCCTGTCACCTCCATCATGTTAGCTGAGGAGAGGAAAGAGGTCAAAACCAACCAGACGACATCTGTCTGAGGTGGAGGGCTGGACTTCCTGTTTAAGTTCTAAACTTAGAAACTCCTGGTCCAAATCTTAAACCAGGACAGAAACCTGCTCTGTTGTGAACAAACTCAGAGGATTAAACTCAAAGCATCATCGTCACGGTTCAGTTAGAGTTTCTGACAKGGCACAGAGCCAAACCTCAAAGCTGAACCTGAATTTCCACACAGACCAGCTGCGTCGTCGGCTGCTTCTCACCCAAACACCCAGAAATATGCAAATCAGCCTGTTTGATATTTAACCTTTAATCCTGGCCAAACAGTCCAACTCTGAGCTGCGATCAAAACCAGTTTGGATCCAGACGTAAAAACATTTAAAGGGATCCCCGATTAGTTGTAACATTAGACGTTATTTGATTAACATTTGTTTAAACTGTAAAATAACAACTGTAAAAATATTGTGGGATGTTTAGTTTTCATAATTTTTTTAAAATATATTTTAACAAGGACGGGGCCATTTTATTTACACACAAAGCATTCTGGGTAAATGATGACGTGGATAGGTCCTCGGT